AGAAACATCTCACTCACCCCCACCCTTCCACTGTCCTGTTCTCTGCTACCCTCTTTCCCTAAAGCAGCCGTTCTCTCCTGACCTCCTCCTGAGAATCAAATGACACAATTTCTGCTTTCTGTGCTATAACAGAACACCAGATTGTGAAGCTTATGGCACACACCTTTAGTCCCAGCACTAGGGAAGCAGAGGCAGATAGATCTCTGTGAGTTCAAGGCCAGCCTGGTCTACAGAGTGAGTTCAAGGACTATATAGAGAAACCCTGTCTTAAAAAACAAGATAGACAGACAGACAGACAGATTTAAAAAAGGTTTATTTAAGTTGCCATTCTGAAGGTTGAAAATCTAGTCAGGCGATTATATTTGGTAAGAGTTACACATAAACCCATGCGTGACAGAGAAAAGGGCACATTCAAAATGAAAGGTAGGGGATGGCTAGAGAGATGGCTCAGTAATTTAAGAGCACCGACTCCTCTTCTGGAGGACCTGGGTTCAAATCCCAGCCCCCCCCCCCATGGCATCTCACAACTGTGTGTAACTCCTGTTCCAGGGGATTTGACACCCTCACATACACATATGCAGTCAAACACCAATGTATGTAAAAATAAAAAGAAATACATTTTTTAAAAAAAGAATTAAAAAAAAAAGAAGGGGGGGCACCAGGGAGCTGACAGTCTTTACAAATAATAGTTTCTCAAATTAGTCCATTCCGCAGACAACTAATGCAACATCCCGAGAGACACTTGTTGATTTTAAGGGCCTTGTCATCATTAATGACACCACCGGGAAGGCAAGCCCCAACACCAGTTTGTGGAGGACCAGCCATTTGTGCCTGATGGGCAGCTGAATGCTGGGGCTCCCTGTGCCCAGAAGAGCAGGGACAACCTTGTCCCTGAGCAGGGTGGTGGTGGCAGAATTTGAGGCAGATCACTGTTTAATTAGTGTCCACACCTCTGTCCATTGCAGCTACTTTGTTCCTACCTCTTCATGCCCTTTGCCTTCATGATGGGAGTCGACTGGCAAGACAGCTTTATGGTCGCCAAACTCATAGGTTACAAGACATTCTTCAATGAATTTGTGGCTTATGACCACCTCTCGAAACTGATCAACTTGCGGAAAGCGGCGGGACCCAGATTTGTAAATGGTGTGCAGCAGTATATGTCGGTATGTATAACTCCTATCACACAAACACGCTGTGGCTTGTTCCTCAGCCGGGAATGTGAGCAAAGGCAGAACAGAACAATCCCAAAGCTGGATCTTGTAGAGCTCACAATGAACACAGCTTAATTCTCAGTCACATTATCTCGACCATGTGATATTTGTGTGGAGAAAGAGTGGGGAGGGAGTGGGGGGAACTTGTAGACTATAAACACAGACCTAGAGTCACATGAGCTAGGACTGACATCAGGGTTCAAAGAGTATTGGATACCTTCTCTGGTAGGTCCTAAGACAACAGCCTGGGGGGCATGGCAGGCCCTCTGCTGATCATCAGCTTAAGATAAGGAAGGTTCTTCCTGGCAGAGGTTTCAGCTCATGAGCTACTGGCTTTATTGCTTTTCTTGGACAGTGCGGTTCATCAATGCAGAAACATAAACAGAGGAGGACTGCTCATCACAAAGTAGCTGAAGAGCAAAGACGGGAAGAGGAGAGGACAGGGACCCAAAATCCCCTCCAAGGTGTGGTCCTGTTCTAGTGTAAGAAGAGCCACACAAACCGCTGAGGTCTCTGTTAGATATGGGCAGTTTATTGGACCACCTTTTCCAAGCTGATCGATCAGGGCCACAGTAAGAACACGGGAGCCTAACTGTGAAGGGTACAAGTTCTCACAGCAGGGTTTTTATAGAAAGAACCAAATGCAAAAGACATGGGGAGGGCAGTAACACATTTTGGCTAACTAGACAAAGTGCTATCAGCTAACCTTTAAGCTGATTGGTCCAAAGTGAGGTAAGTGAGGTAGGGCTTAGGGGCTTCTAGAGAACATCCAAAGTGTAGCCAGCTGTAGATAAGAAGGGCGCAACCAGAGTGTAGCCAAGTGAACAGATAATGAAGCATGAGGTATAGCCTTATTGAATCATGTAAAATATAAGGTCAGCTTGACCCTCTGGCTGGGCTGCTAGTGCCAGCTATGAACAACCTCTTTCCAGGAAGCAGAGATGAAAAGTTTAAAGTTTTGAACCTAATTTCACCTTAGCAGCAAAATAGAAGCCCAATACAGAGAAGGCTGCAGCTTTGTCTCAAAAAAAGCAGCCTGCAGTACAGTCCAGTGACCTAACTTCCTTCACGTGGCCTGACTTCCTGTCCTAGTTTGCTTTCCCATTGCTGTGATAAAAACACCATGACCAAAAGCAGCCTGGGCAAGAAAAGGTTTATTTCACTTACGCTTGCAGGAGAGAAGCCAAGGGAAGGAACCCCAGGACTCAGCCCAAGGAGCAGTGTTCCTAGGCTCACACTCAACTACCTTTTTACACAGTCCAGACCCACCTGCCTAGGATGGGTGCCGCCCACAGTAGGCAGAGCCTTCCTACATCATTTAGGCTGTAGCCTACTGCTGTAAGCAGGTCTTCAGTTGAGGGTCCCTCTTCCCAGGTAAGGATGTCCAGCCATCACACCTCCTGAAGATTCTGTCACCTCCCACCGCCGGTACCAAGGTCTTTGGAGGATATTCAGAGACCAAATGCAGCAGGCCCTACCTTCTTGGAGCTGACAGCTGGTCGTAAGGGCCTGTTCTAGCCCCATGAGTCCTGAGAGAGTGACCACTGGTCGCTCTGGGCCTCATCATCCCCAAAGCCCCCAAACGTTGGGGCAGCCACCCTGTAAGCATGCAGAGAGGCACTCGTGTCTCCTTAGGCTCTGATGGAGAGAGGGACATAACAAGGGTGAAGACACACTTGCAGCTTAATCTCCAGTTCATTTCCTCCTCAAGACCAGGATTGTCTCATAAAGAAACTAAGAGAAACGAACATTTATAACCGCCCCTGTCCATCTCTGAAAGAGCCCCCTGGAGCTGACATCCTCGCCATTAAAGCAGATTGCCCAGTAATGAGATCCCGGCTACAGAGCTCACCACTTCCTTCCTGGACTCCCAAAGACCAAACATATGGATTCTATAAGTGAAGACCTCCCCAGGAGAGTCCTCACGTGAATGAGTCTGTGGTCTCGGGCCACAGCCTGATAGAAATGAGCTTCGTGGGTTTTCTATCCTCACTGCTTCTTTTTCAGGTGGCCTAACCGTGAGACTCAGCCAACTCTCTTCATTGTTTGGATGCCACCTAAACCAGTTTGTTTCCCTGCCCAAAGTAAACAATAGGCTAAATTAACCGACGTGTTTTCCACTTCCCCCGTTGCCAGGAGGAAATGCTTTTGTTAATGACGGAAGCAAGCTGCCCGTTCTGGCAGTACCAATTGGTTCTCTGGAAAGCTCGATGGGCAAGCGGAGCCCCCACTGTAGAGATGATTTCATTTGGGAGTGGGCCCAGCTGAAGGCAGGCACATGGTGGAAACAGCTCAGCAGCCCCCACTATTGCCGGATCAAAGTGGGAAAAGCAAGTGACTCAGAAATTTGGATTTCTGAGCATCTTGGCTCACGCGCAAGGAGGCCATTTATCTTCCTAAGTTCCGCTGCAGAATCATTTACATTTGGGGCCAGAGTAACTCAGAGCAGCCTTCAGCCTGACCTTTGCCGCAGTGGCTGAGTGAACCTGCAGGAGCTTCTGTACTTGAGCTGAACCCGAGGGACAGTTACCAGGCCATGGAACAGAGCCAGCTGGCCAAGCGCTCCTTTCACTGTCTGTCTTCCCTGTTTCCCCCCTAGAGGACGCTCCCTCTCACATTTCCAGCGCACCCTAAGTTCTCAAGAGTCGGAGCTAAAGAAGAAAGGCACACAGGGTGGCCAGAGTGTGTGACAGCCCAGAGCATTCTGTTTATTGACATAATTAATTAACTTCCCCCATGGCCCTTAAAAGACAACACACCCTGAAGACCTACGAGCAACTAATGAGCTTTTCTTGTTCTCGCTGTAGTTGTATTAATCAGCTTTCATTATTGTGGCAAAATACACGAGATAAACCAAAAGGTTTGCCCAGACCCGCTGAGGAGGTTTTGCCGTGGTTGTTTTTAGGCCAGTGGTCAGGCCGTGCAGTGTAGGAGGGGAGGAATGAAAAGTAAAAGCTCAGTGTTACCATACGCCCCTTCCTCTGAAACCCATCAAGCCATGAATGCGTAGAGGGACTGTCCACCAAGGTCGGAGCCCTTACAAGCCAAGAGGGCCAGGCCATGAACCTGAGGGGCATTCGAGATCCAAAGCACAATATCACTTCTGTGTGGTTGAATAAATAGGCTGCATTGGCCCCCATGTTCCACGTTATCATAAATGCTGCCCTTCCTTTATGGAAGAGCGATGTTCTGGTTCAAAGATACCCTCAATCTGTCTGTCAGTTCCTCGGCTGAGGATCCCTGAGTGTTCTGACATGAGGCTCCTGCGAGTGAACTGCACAAACACTGGTGAGCAGCCGGCCTGGGCCTGTGTTTGAATTCCTCCTGTGGGTGTGGAAGCAGGCAGTGACAGCTGAGTGACACAGCATCTCGCTGATGGGCCCTTCCTTGCTGCCAGTGCCCTGTGGGCTCTTTAGATACGTCACACGATCTGTTTCTTTTCAAGGGTCAGGCAGGCAGCTCGTGTTGCCCCAGTGACGTCTGCTTGTTTACCAGGAGCCTGTATGGTGAAACATTCGCCAGGGCCACACATAAGCCTCCCACATGCTCCACATCCCCAAAGTACTATAGTCAGGTTTTTTGTTGTTGTTGTTCTAGCTCTTTCGGTAACTGGCAAAAATGCCTAAAATGAATCAACCTAAAGAAAGATTTATGTTGGCTTTCTGTACAGTGGCTGGCGCTTCCCGTGTGTGACTAATGTTGAATATCTTTCCATATGCTTATTGCCCATTTGCATATCTTTTGTAGCAATGTATCTAAAACTAGGGCAGGAGTCTTATTGTTGAATTATAGCAGCTCTTTATATGTTCTGAGTAAACCCTTTGTCAGATAAACATAATGTAACTGATTAATGAGCAGGAAGTAGCATTTCTCTCAATGTCAAGGCCACTCATTCCTAGTCTGTTTTCAAGTGTTCTTTAAATCCACACCCCTCTTTTCACTCTCCCTCAAAAGTCAAGAGCACAAGATAAGCCATCAAAGGTTATCTGACGATCTACAGTGTGTTCTATAGTCACTAAAGCCTGGCTGGGATGTCAGGTTTATGGAGACCATCTACACATCACTGTTTTTGCTTGCTTGCAGATTCGTTCCGAGACCATTGCGACCTATGCCCTCTGTGGTTTTGCCAATTTTGGTTCCCTAGGAATAGTGATCGGCGGACTTAGTAAGTGGAAAAGAATGTTCTTCAATGACACATGTGACCTTTGCGAGCCCACCCTGCTTTGGAATATGTCAAAGAAAAATGGCTCTTCTAGGGTCTATGTTTTATCCCTGCTCTGGAGTACAGTTTTCCTTTGTACACTCAAGAATTCAAGACAAATATGTTCAAACATACAGACACTTCTCCCAAGCCAATGATAACATCAGTCATTTGTGTAGATTCACGGCAGTCATCTGAAGGGACTGCTGGGGCCCATGGAAGATCACTGTAGAAGATGCTGTCACCTGTTCCTGATGTCTGCCTTGGGCACAGACAGAGATGGTGACAGCCAGCTTAGCCATCATCTGATTGATGCTTCTCGCCAGTAGCCACAGGCTTTGCTGTGTTCTTTCCCAGTACTCCATGGGCCCTTTGGATAATCTTTTGACTTGTCTCTTTTCAATTGACCTGGTAGTCTGGTCACAAAAGAATTATCAGAAGCTGTAAATTTGGGTTTCTAACCAACCTACCCTCCAATGTGTCTTTCTCTTCCAGCATCCATTGCTCCGACAAGAAAGCGTGACATCGCCTCTGGAGCGCTGAGAGCCCTGATCGCTGGGACCATTGCCTGCTTCATGACGGCCTGCATCTCGGGTATGCCATCCGTCCTTCCTGTCCCGGGTGCCCACAGCATGGAAGCTCCCAGGGAGGCAGGCTTCCAGGCTGCATAGACGCGGCATATGCTGCAGCAGGAAGCTGCAAGGCAGAGCCGGGCGAGGCACCCTGGAAAGGGGAGTGTGTGGGATGGGGTGGGGAAGCTGAGAACAGAAGGGAAGTTCTGGGATTTGGTTAAATTATGACAATAAATGGCAGTCTGTTCCTTTCCAGGCATTCTCTCTAGCACCCCTGTGGATATCAACTGCCATCACATTCTAGAGAGCACCAGCAGACTCAGCAACACGACCCAAGTGGTGTCTTGCTGCCAAAATCTGTTGCAAAGGTACCTTTAGTTATCCCTCGGTGCCTCTCAGTCATGATTGCATCTGACTGCTGTGTTCTGGGGGGGACATGAGCAAATACCTGTTCACCCCAGACAAAGCGTCGACAGCTCCTCAAAGCCCTGCTTGGTGAGCCTGGGAGACTGATAGGCTTCCTTGTAGGGGTGTGGGTAGCCCCCAAATGGTTGCATCAGTGAAAAGCCTCATGCAGCACAGCTGATGACTTGCTGGGTCATGGAGTCCCGCCTCCAAATTAACCTTCCATCTAGTCCTTCCCTAGGTCACATGCGAGTGAAAGGTGTGAGCTCTTGCTATGGAGATATTACTTCACTTACTTGGTTGCCATGACTACTATGACTACTGGGTCAGGCCTCACTCCGTTCCATGATGGTGAGGCCGTAGGCAGATAGTGTGGTCATGTGACATTGAGAGCAAGCAGCCGTACTACAGTCCCAGCATAAAGATCACATCTATTTATTTTCATAACCTCCTTCACTGTTTAGTTGTCATGCGAGAAAACTCACGATGTTTCCAGCAACCTTGCATCTTATCTTCACAGATAAGACTAGAAAACTAGAAGCTGAAACACTTCCCTAGACTGCCCGAAAGTGCCTGGTATAACCCCTGTGCATTACACACTTGGTGTGAATGAGCTCACTTAAACCTTGCAATCACCATGTAAGCTGGGCACAATCCTAGTTTTCCTTCACATCAACATAATGAAGCCTTAAGGAGGCTGTGTCTATTCAAGCAATATTAGTCCCAGCATGATCAAGACAGAAACTCTAGCCTGTCCACAGAGCCAGTGCCCTTAATTACTGCTGCTAGAATGTCTCTCTGGCCTCGCCTCGGTCCCCAGGCCTAGTGACCTCACTTGAAAGGATTTAGATGAGATACACAGTGCAATATTTATCACATAAGAACGTTAGCTCCCTCGAGGGGTGAGGGTGGACAACGGCCAAACTTCATCTTTAGATGAGCTTTGTATTTGTGCTATTGTTTAAAGTCCTTTCCTGGGGAGCAGTTTCCTGTCCAGGTGATTGGCAAGCCTGTTTAGATTAGTTCTTTTTTTTGTTTTGTTTTTATACTTTTTTATTAATGTTTATTTTTTATATTAATCACAGGTTATTTACTTTGTATCCCAGCCATAGCCCCCTCCCTCATTCCCTCCTAATCCCACTCTTCCTTCCTAATTTCCTCCATGCTCCTTTCCAAGTCCACTGCTAGAGGAGGTTCTCCTCGCCTTCCATCTAACCCTAGCTTATCAGGTGTCTTCAGGACTGGCTGCCAAGTCCTTATCTGTGGTCTAGCAAGGCTGCTCCTCCCTCGGGGGTGGGGGGATGGGAAGGTAAAGGAGCCAGTCATTGAGTTCATGTCAGAAATAGTTCTTGTTCCCCTTACTAGGGAACCCACTTGGTTACTGAGCTACCATGGGCTATATCCGAGCAGGGGTTCTAGGTTATATCCTTATATGGTCCTTGGTTGGAGAAACAGTCTCATAGAGGGCCCCCATGCCCTGATGTATTTTGTCCTTGTTTAGCTCCTGTCCTCTCTAGGTCATACTAACTTCCCCTTCTTTTATATGATTCCCTACACTCTGCCTAAGGTTTGGTTATGAGTCTCCCCATCTGCTTTGATACACTGCTAGGCAGTCTTTCAGAGGCCCTCTGCAGTAGGCTTCTGTCCCGTTACTTGTTTTCTCCTATTTCCCCTGTCTATCACATTTGTCTTTCTAAGTGAGGATTGATCATCTTACTCTGGATCTTCTTTCTTGTTTATCTTATTTAAGGGTACATATTTTAGTATGTTTATCCTATTTTATAGGTCTATATAAGTGACATATCATGTGTGTCTTCTCCTGGAATACCTCACTCAGGATGATCTTTTCTAGATCCCACCATTTGCATGCAAATTTCATGATTTCCTTGTTTTTAATTGAGTAGTATTCCATTGTGTAAAAATACCACAATTTCTGTATCCATTCCTCCGTTGATGGACATCTGATTTGTTTCCAGATTCTGGCTTTTACGAAAAAGCTGCTACAAACATGGTTGAGCAAATGTCCTTGTTGTGTACTTGAGCTTCTTTAGATTAGTTCCTAAAGGGGAGAGCAACATTTGACTCTTTACAGAAAGCCTCTAGTAGATAGAGATGTCAAGATCTTCAGGGCAGTTTACAATGTCCAGTCTCTACCCAGGGGCAGAGAGGAGCCTCAGCTCTCAGCTAAGACCACAGAGAACTTGTAACAGAGCAGATGGAGAACTAAAGACCGGAGTTTAATCTGTAGACATAGCCATACTTCCCCAGGAATGGCCTTTCGCTGGAGGACAGCAGCAGAGCCCAGCTGCCCCAGCCTGTCAAATCTGCAGCTCGCCTTGCACACAACATTTTAAAGCTTAAGGCAGTGCAGTTGTGGCCTGTCACCCTTCCTTCACCCGTCACTTATCTTCCCTTGCAAAATTAGTGAGTCAACAGTGGCAAAGGAAGCAGGCGAAGACTGTCTGTGGGATGGGATCCAACCTTATGACTTCAAGATTGCTGTTTTCTAACTAGTTGCCTACTGTTTTTCCTCTTACTGCCTCATTTTCAAAAGAAGCAGGGTGGTCCTGACAGCATGGTGAAGGGTGATGGTGGCAGTGACCCAGGCCAGCCACCTCCACCCACTACAGCTTCTGTCCTCCCTCCACAAGCAGTTTGGAGTGCCCTCCCTCCACAAGCAGTTTACTGATCTCTTCGATATCTTGGTTCTGTTTGACATGTATGAGTGGCTGCCTGTATGTCTGTACCCCGAGTGCATGTACAGCCCATGGAGTCCAGAGGAGGGCACCAGGGTTGGCATTATAGGCAAGTGTGAGCTGCTGTGTGGGTCCTGGGAATTGAACTTGGGTTCTCCAGAAGAGCAGTCGGTGCTCTTAACTGCTTAGTCATCTCTTCAGCCCATGTACGAGTGGGTTCTGTCATTATTGTTTGGGGTTGTTTTGTTTTGTTTTGGTAAGAATTAGTTCTATCCTGTCAATTGCTATTCTGGAAAAAATAGGAGTCCTTGAGACCACCCGGAATTTGAGAACCAAAGCTAACCCTTAGGTGTCTCTGTCTTAAACCTACCCTGTGTATACTGGGAATAGGAAATCAGCTTTCTGCCTGGTATCATTTTCAATGTATGCTTAACTGTTCCCATCTCAGACCCAACTAATGATTTTATTGCACTTCCACCAGCACTGTTGCCAAGGGACCAAACGAGGTCATCCCAGGAGGAAACTTCAGCCTCTATGCTTTGAAGACATGCTGCAACCTGCTGAAACCATCAACACTGAACTGTGATTGGATCCCTAATATGCCATGATCTAATCCACGTATCCAGTGGTATTCTATGCACAGATGCTGCGTTTTCTGCTCTGGAGGGGATAGAAGGCTATTGCCATAGATTGATAACTCTGTCATAGACTAAGATTTAATGACAAAGGAGGAAGAAAGTCTGGAGTAAATCCTTCTGAGCTAGTGTCGCCTTCTTCTCTTCTCTTCTTAGCTCACTTTCTCTCGGTGGAGAACTCCTACAACCACCTCCCAAACTTCAGTCCCAGCAATGGCTTTCTGTTTTCAAGGCATTTCATGAGAAAAAAATGTTTTTGCATGTATATCATATACCGTGTGTGTGTGTGTGTGTGTGTGTGTGTGTGTGTGTGTGTGTGTATGTGTGTGTGTGTGTGTGTGTGTGTGTGTGTGTGTGTGTGTTAGCTCCCAACAATTGGGGTCTGACTCAGCTGTACCCCTTTTGGTGCTCTAAGTATGTCAGATCAATGCGGTGTCAACACAGTTCAGGTAAGGCCATTCTGCCTTCAGTCCAGGTTATCCGAAAGGCCTTCAGCTTGAATCTCATGTGAAGAAGAGCTAACGTGCAATGACCCACTCGTTGACTGCCCTGCAGAAGCTCTGCACAAACCGAGAGTCCTTCATAAAGGCACACAGGCCACATGAAAACCAGTATTTACATCCACAGATTGTAAAGGCATGTAAGCAGTCAGCTTGTGTAAACCTGTGTTGCAGGAACTCCCCCAAACTTCCAGATCTTATAAATCTTTTTCTAATATGTTTGAAATGCTTAATTTCAAGACTTTAAGTCTCATAACTTCAGAGGCATATAAGCAGTCATCCCACATCTTTTTAAAGCTAATATTGTATTTTTAAAGGAATATCTTTTATATGTTCTTTGGCAATTTTACACATACAACTAATGTATCTTGATCATACATACCCCCAGCTCCTCCTGACATCCCTCAGCTCGTCCCCATTCATATCTCATGTCCGCTCCGCTCTGTGTTTTGTAACTCTGAATCTAGTGCTGCCTGCTGGAACATTGACTGGTGTTGGCTTGGTTTCTGTGCAAATAACCATATCTGCAGTGAGTTCATGAGTGCAGCGTCCACGTCCTGTCCGGAGACAGCATTTCACAGCCCTCTTCTTCAGCTCCTGCTCTCACACTCTTTCCTCCTCTCTTGGATGATATTCCTTGTGCCTCGAGGACATTGATAAAAATGTCTGGTTTGGGACTGAGCACTCAACATTCACATATCCTCAGAACATTTATTAGTTGAGTCTCCGCATTGCTGTATTTGGGCTTAATCTATGCTGTGTCCATCTCCAGTACTCAGGCTAAAGAACAGCCCCTGTGTGGGGCTCACTGGCCTTAGGGAGCCATTTAGAAACATGTCAGCCCTCATAAGTCCCGCTAGGAGCCAGATGGAGGTGCATCTTCCTGTAATCTCTTGGGAGCTGAGACAGGAAGAATATGAACTCAAAACCAGAACAGACATAAAAAGACTGTGTCTCCAAGCAACAACAACAAAACTTGTACAAGATAGTAACACTCTTCATTTCTACTCTATGCCATGAGGCAGAGTAAGTCCTGTGACCGGCCCGGTTCTGTGTCCAGGAGTGAACTGTCTTGTCACAGCAGGAGAAATAATACAACACCAAGGTGCCTGACATCCATGGGACTGTGGCAGTGACAGCTCTGTCACTGAGTAGACTGTATTTGTAGGCCCGTTGATGCGCCACGTTGCTGCTGTATTCCCGATGATAAGATTGTAAAACATTAGTCAAAAAGCCATGTGAGCGCCAGCCATGAAGAGAAATCAATGCTGCCTGAGATGGGACTGCCTTTCATCGGCTCTCCCATCAATCAAGACACCAGCACCACACGGGCTCACTAGGCATCTGTGTTCTGGAGATGCCAGCAAAACACGCTTTGATGAAGTCAGTGAGGAAAACCTCATGGCCCCTGAGCCAAACCACGGCTCTGAGGGAAGGATGATGCAATAGCCTATGCGCAAGACCAATTAAAAAATAATCTGTATAAACTGGGATTATTTGTTGTTTGGCTTTATGTTTAGTATGGAAGTTGGGAAGGGGGTGTTACATGTCTGAAGAACTTTTTATCACTGTAAATAGATCAAGGTATTTCTAAGTTTTGTCTTTACACTTTAGGAATTTCCATTTGCATGCCCTTGTGAACCTTAAAGTTTCATCGCGGCCTATGACCTGACCCAGCATCAGGAGTATCAATTATTCATATTTTGGTTCTTTTTTATCTTCTCTCTGGTGCTTTTTAACTAACCTATTTTTTTTTTCTAGTATATTTTCTTCCTGAGAGTCACTGAGAAAGCCCCTTTGCTGCTTGGAGCATGCCTGTCTGGCAAGCTATGTTTTTAAGTTTGTCGTGGGGCATTCTGGTCCTTTGAGTGTTTACCTCTTCTCTGAGCCTGTCAGATTGCTTCAAGGAAATCAAGAAAGTTTCTACTGTGTTTGACGACAGGTTTTCCTCTTTAGTTTGTAACAACAGACATTTCTTTTTTAAAAAATTTATTTATATAGTGTTCTGCCTGCATGTGTGCCTGCAGACCAGAAGAGGGCACCAGATCTCATTATAGATGGCTGTGAGCCACCAAGTGGTTGCTGGGAATTGAACTCAAGACCTTTGAAAGAACAGCCAGTGCTCTTAAGCTCTGAGCCATCTCTCCAACCTAATGAAAACAATGACTGTTAAAAACTGGAATTAAAAAAACCTAACATATATAATAATTTTATACAAACGTTCTCCCGCCAATGGAGAAGAGTTCACTGGTAATTGACTAGTCCACAAGGCGTTCTTCTTGTATAACACACAGAACCATGTAAGGGATTGGTGATTACAAAAAGAGTAAGCATTTTCGTGCTACCTTCCACAAACAAGCACACTCTTTACAGCTGGTGAGATACTCTGGAAATTCCTACACCTTTTTGTTTATAGTTCTAGCTTTAGCTTTTCCTCTTTTTTTTTTTTTTTTTAAATGTCTGGATGCACATACATGTGTTTGGCACTGTACAAATGATGTGACCTCATGCCGAGGGGGGGAAGACACCAGACAGTCCCCACGGTTTGGATCGTGAATATTTCCCACAGCTCTGCGTGTTGGAGGCTTGGCCTGCAGCCTTGGAAGGTCACAGATCTTTTAGGAGGTGGAGCCCACTGGAAATAAGTGAGGTCACTGGTAGCGTGCGTTTGAGGGGGACACTGGGCCCCCAATCTCCCCTCTTCCTCCTTCTATACTTCCCAAGCCACCAGGAAGTAGGACAGGCCACTTGCACTACCCACTCCTGCCATAAACAACACACGGCATATGACATTGTACAGGACCTGGTCCTATAAGCCCAGGCTGCCGTGGGCACAAACCTCTGAAACTGATCCAAGATAAACCTTTCTTCCTTAAAGGTTGACTGTATTAGGCAGTTTTCCACAGATATTTTGTTTTCTCTCTGCTTGCCTCCTTTCCACTGTCCCCAGGCCACGGGGATGTAACCACTGTGGTTATAAAGTGGCCCCTGTGTCACTCTGCAGCCCTACCTGCCCTGGAACTCACTACATAGCCCAGGCTAGCCTCAGATTCAGAGCTCTGCCAGCCTCTTCCCCCTGAGTGCTAGGACTAACAGTGTGGCCACCATGCCTGGCTCTCAAGACACATTTTTTAAAAAATACATACATACATGTATACATAATGCATACACATGTATATTGCTTGAGAATTTTAACATTTTGATTATATCCACCTCCCTTTCCCCAACTCTTCCCACATCCACTTCCCATCCTTCCCTCCCAACCTTGCGGTTATTTGTTAAACCCACCACAATCAATTTGTACCGCCTGATGTTCCTAAATGTAGTTTTCCACTGGGGCATGGCCATCTTAGCAGGGGCTGTACTTACTAAAACTGAGCCTTCCTCTCCCAGCAGCTAACAACCATGGCTGGCTGGGAAGGGGTGGGGGCTGGGGTGGAGAGTTCACACTTGCCTCAGCTGAAGGTGAGAGCTGATACCTGCCTTCCTCCTCCGTACCGGAATTGGTTATGACCACGCCATGTTCTAAGAAGTCGAATTTGTTCTTTGGAGAAGTTACACGTGTGAGTATTTGCCCTCTGTTTCTGACCTCAGTGCATTTTCTTTATTAAAACATGTATGGCGCCTTCTGGCAAATGTGTTTATCCCCAGGCTGGTCATTCCCAACACCACAATTCAGTGTTGCTACTTTGAATGGCCTGTGTACGCTTTCTTCACAAGCCACTGCTTTTTCTGTTCCCATAACAATGCTGACTCACAGAAATACCATCCAGCTGTGGTGGTTCACGATTTTCTTCCCAGCATTCAGGGCACTGAGGCAGGAGGATTGCCCCAAGTTCAAGACCAGCCAGAACTATACAGTTCCAGACCAATCTAAACTACAGTGAGAGAATCTCTATAAGAAAGAGGGGAAACAGTCCAAGTCATGTATAATTTAAGATTCCCCCAGTAGTTTCAAGGAGATACCGTATATTTCCTGAGCAAACAAAGTCTTTAAGAGCCCGTGTGATCTCCAGCAAGTAAGATCTAATGTTTTACCATAATGCTTAATCAGTACCTTAAAATTTAAAGCTAAAACATAAATAGGCACATCCAGGTTCTCCTAAACATGTTTGGTTTCCAGGTAACAGAACTTAATAGTTTTCAGATTTAGGTTAGAGTGTAGTTGGTCCCTGCATTAGTGGCTGCCCCTGTGGGCAAAGCAGAGCTGCCGGGCATTTTTCTAATATAGTGTGTTTATGCTTCTGGTGTCAGGTAAGTTTCTGGAGAAATATGTGGCCTTAATTTTCACCTGCCTCAGCAGGATACACTCTCCTTCCCGCCACGCCCTCTCTCCTGCTCACTTAATTCTCAAGCTGGCTTCTTAAGATTGTCTGTCTTGAGCTAGGGGTGGGACATTATTCCAAGCCACTGGCAAGGGGTGCAAAGATTAATAACAGGAACATCAGCTGATGATCACCCCGGACTTGTGTC